GTACTGTCCAAATCCAGTCATAGATTTATTCATAGATCCAGTCAAAGATGTATTTTAGTCATTTCTGGTTTAAATAGAGATCCCTTCCCTTTATAACTCACTTATCCTCTGCCATTCCCAAGTCAAGGGTCGTATATACTGACCCAATAGCATATCTTGAAAACTAGAGCCAATCAACAATTTTAAGCATCATTTTCATTCTCAGTAACCCAGAATTAGTAAAGTTTGACTACATTTATTTCAGAAGCATTTTGGCTGTAGAGCAGTGTATCAAAGGGCTTTATGAGCATGAACGAAGTAAGCCTCATAGCAACCCTGTGAGGTACTCTGCACATGGGTAAACTGAGGCACAGAGCAATGAAGTGACTTGCACAAAGTGGGAGGCAAATCAGTTGTAGAGTGGATCTGCTGGCTCCAGTCCTATGCTTTAACCACTAGACCCTGCATCTGCATTCAGAGAACAAACACATTGTAGGGAATCCTACTTTGTTCCTGGTTATCCAGAACAAAGAGGGTAAATAGGTTGAATACAGTATTTGTTGTGAATTATATGCTCAGCTCTACTGATTAGGAAAAGGATGCTGGCTGCGACAAGCTATGTTAGCAGATACCAAACACCCACGATTCTTTGTACCTGAACCAAACTCCCACAATCCTCTTAATATAAACCAGTGTACTGATACTCTGTGTCTATAATTCTAGGTGCTTTAAACTTAGGTGAAACCTCAATGTGTGACCAAATGGTAGAATGTGTGTAATCTTTTACTCTTATCCCAGTGGTCCCCAGAGAATATGTCCAGCTGTCCAGAAAGGAGCCATTTGTTATTGACGAGGGATACTTGCTATTGCAAATGTGTTCTGTACTTGATGAGATGATAAACTATTAAGAAATGTTTTTAACTCATCAGGAATTTCTTGTTGTCACAGATATTTTCTTGGTTGGAAATGACTTGTTTGGAAATATCTTTAGTTTATCAGCCATGTAAACTAAGGTACCATCAAGGAATTTCCACTTGTAATTGGGTGGTGGGGAGAGGAATTTCTCTCTCTCTCTCTCTCTCTCTCTCTCTCTCTCTCTCTCTTTGTATACACCTGTGGTATATAAGGAACTGAGGTTTTGAGAGTTCGGAGTGAACCCAGCTGCAGAGATGCTTCTCCAGCATCAGTTTGGTAACGTATAACCTTCCTTTCTGTATTGTGCAGTGTTAATCTTTGACTAATAATCTTTGATTAATAAATTCCCAATGAGCCTGGAGTCAGCTGGAGTCTTATTAAGAATCAAAATTGTACCCTAACACCTGTCAAAGATGATAAGACTTTTCCACTAAAAAGTAGGGAAGACGAAAACCACTCTGGGAGAAAAGCTATCAAATTGCAAAAAGAGTCTTGCAGCATGGAACTGCCTGAGCCCCCGATTCAGAAATGGACAACTGCCACTAGACAATGCAAGACCGACATCCTATTGAAAACAAGAGAAAAGGAGGGTGGTTAAGGCCCTGGACTGGGACTCAGGAGATCTGTGTTCAGTTCCCAGCTCAACCACAGGCTTTCTGTGTGACCTTGGGCAAATCACTCAGTCTCTCTGTGCCTCCCCGTCCATCTGTAAAATGGGAACAATACTTTGTCTCCTCTGTTTAGACTATTTCTCACTATGTGTCTGTACAGTATCTGGCACAATGCTGCCCTGATCTACTAGTAGTAAATACTACTACTACCACCATGTGCTACTGTAATATAAATAATAACCCCCTTTTCCATTGTAAAGCCTGTTCCAAGACACTGATAGTTTGTTTTATTGATTTTGCTGCCCCCTCTGTTCCTTCTCAGGCTATTGCAATTGTAAATTGACTTGCATGGGTTTCTTTTCTTTACCATTTGCAGTTATGTGTACACACACTGAGATCTTTTTCAAAGTTTCTTTACAAATGTTTGTGCAAATTGAGTGCTGGATTGATGGTAGTGCAGACCGAAGTCTTTCTTTGTATAGATCCTGACCCTTGGAAGACTCCCCTCTTGGAGCAAGAAGATAATTCATTCTCCTTAGCCTATTCAGTCCTTGGTCCCTCACAGGAGCTGTAAAAAAAAAACACCATTGGTGATGCAAATTCTTACCCATGGGAAACTGAATTGAAACCACCAAAGTCATTTTGCCTAGGACAGCTACCAGCCCTCATATGGTAGAACAACTTTGGGGCACTTCCAAGCCAGGTTTGTAGACTCAGTTCCCCATTTCCTTGCACCTTCGGTCCCTGTATCCCATGCACAACCCAGTAGCT